GTTGGGGCAACCATCATTTCAGAAAGAGAGCAACTTCGTCTTAACCAAGCCTACACAGGATGTTGCCCTCTTTTTCCTGTTCAGTAGGGTACAGTTCAAGTTTAAAAACCTCCTGACTGCCGCGCGCGCCGGTGGCTCAAAGCCTGTAAATCCCAGCACTTGTTTTGGGAGGCGAAACGGGTGCTGGTGGGACACGAGGTCAGGAATTCAGAGGACATCCCTGGCTAAACACAGTGAAACCCCGTCTCTATAAAAAATACAAAAAACTTTAGCCAGGCGAGGTGGCGGGTGCCTGTATCCCAGCTACTTCGGGAGGCTGAAGGCAGGAGACATGGCGTGAACCCAGGAGGCGGAGCTTGCAGTGAGCTTGAGATTCCCGGCCACTGCACTCAGCCTGGGCCCACAGCCGAGAACTCCGTCTCTTAGCCAGGATGGTCTCGATCTCCTGACCTCGTGATCCACCCGTTTCGGCCTCCCAAAGTGCTGGGATTACAGGCTTGAGCCACCGCGCCCGGCCGGCAGTCAGGAGGTTTTAAACTTGAACTGTACCCTACTGACAGGAAAAGAGGCAAATCCTGTGTAGCTGGTAAGACGAAGTTTGCTCTTTTCTTGAAATGCCTGTTGCCCCAACCACTTAACCCCACCTGTCTGAGAAGTGTGTTGGTGGCATGTTTGTTGGATTGCATGGAATTAAAATGGGTACTGTAGCTCATCCTTTCTGCTGAGAACATGGCTGTGGTATATGTGTGTTTCTATTTTGTTTTTGTTTTTGTTTTTTTGAGACAGGGTCTCACTCTGTCACCCAGGCCGGAGTGCAGTGGCACAATCTAAGCTCACTGCAACCTCCACCTCCTGGGCTCAGTTGGACCTCCCACCTTAGCCTCCCGAATAGCTGGGACCACAGGCATGCACCACCACACCTGGCTAATTTTTTTGCATTTTTTGTAGAGATGGGGTTTTGTCATGTTGTCCAGGCTGGTCTCGAACTCCTAGACTCAAGCAATCCTCCCACCTCTGCCTTCCAAAGTACTGGGATTACAGGTGTGAGCCACTGCGTCTGGCACCATGTGTGTTTGCTCTAAGGGGTGCAAGTCCCACGTGTTCTTTCTTTTTTTTTTTTTTTTAAGTTCTGGGGAATCAATGTGCAGAACATGCCACGGTTTGTTACCACAAAGGTAATACATGTGCCATGGGTGGTTTGCCTGACCACCAACCCATTGCATCGTTAGGCTTTTCAAGCCCCTGCCATGTACTTAGGTGTTTGTCCTAATACTCTCCCTTCTCCTCTGCTCCTACGCCGCGCCCATCTCACATGTCTTTAATTAAGTTCTTTCTTTTTTTGTTTTGCAGACGGACGTCCGTTGCTCTGTGCCAGCGGCCTGGGTGGTCAGTGGCCGGACTCTTCAGCTCACACGCAAGCTCCGCCTCTCCCGGGTTCACCGCCGATTCCTCTGTCAGCCTCGAGTAGCTGGACTACAGGCGTCCCAACATCAGGCCCCGCTTAGTCTTTTGTTATTTTTTAGTACACAGAGCGGCGGTTTCACCATCGTTACGCCAGCCATGGTCCTCGATGTCCTGACGACTCGACCACCTCCTCGGCGTCCAACCCAAAGCTGCCTGGATTCACAGGCTTGAGCCACCGCGCGGCCTACTTAAGTTTTTTAAGCCCTCTAGATTCACATGCTCTTAATTCCAATTGCTGCCAGCCGCATTGATACCGCCGGCCACCATTCCACAGATTTTGTACCTTTGAAAAATTAGGCCAGTAAAGGTGGATGGAAGTGGAATTCTAAAGAATCTTTGCCACCCTGGGGTCGCCAGCAAATATCTATAAAGTCCTGTGCTGCCCGGTGCCTGGCACTTTCCCAGTGCAATACCACTCACACACAGCCACGTGGTTAATTGACATTTGAATTAAAACAAAAACTTCCAGCCAGCGCGCTGGTGGCTCATGCCCTGGTAATTCCAGCCACTTTGGGAGGCCGAAGGCAGGTGGATCACATGAAGGTTTCAGGAATTTAGCAACCATTGGAAATAGCCAGGGCACGTCGGTGCGGGCACCCCGCCTGCTAAGTGCCCAGCCTACTCCGGGCAGGCCCTGAGGCCAAGGAAGGATCTCATGAACCCCAGAGGCGGTGGTTACAGTGAGCTGAGATCATGGCACTATACTCCAGCCTGGGCAACAGAGCAAGACTCTGTCTCATACTCCAGCCTGGGCAACAGAGCAAGACTCTGTCTCAAAAACATAAAATAATAAAAGATAAATTAATAAAACTTCCGAGTGCTCAGGTGTGCATTGGAGAGTGCACGTAGAGGACACTGCCAGCAGCAGAGAGTTCTGTTGGACAGTGCTGCTCTGGTGGTTCCAGGAGGGAATGGTGGCTGTGTTTGCTTTACTAGATTTATAGGATGAATGAGCCCCAGTTCGTTCCCAAGTTAGTGAACAACTAACTTGGGAAAGTCAAGTAACTTATAAGTGGAAAAGTATGTTTGATTTATATTGGGTAAGTTACAAGGAAGATTTATTTTTTTTTTTCACGCTGGAGACTAAGAAAAGAGAAGAAAAAGATTCTTTAGAGAACTTTTAAGAAAAGCTTTCTTAAGAAAAAAGTTTTGTTTTTTTTTTTTTTTTTTTTGAGACAGAGTCTCACTCTGTCACCCAGGCTGGAGTGCAGTGGCACGATCTCGGCTCGCTGCAAGCTCCGCCTCCCAGGTTCACGCCATTCTCCTGCCTCAGCCTCCCCAGTAGCTGGGACTACAGGTGCCCGCCACCACGCCTGGCTAATTTTTTGTATTTTTAGTGGAGACGGCGTTTCACCATGTTAGCCAGGATGGTCTCAATCTCATGACTTTGTGATCCACCCACCTCAGCCTCCCAAAGTGCTGGGATTACAGGCGTGAGCCACTGCGCCCGGCCAAAAGGTTTTTCTTGAAGCGCCCACCCCCGCCACCCCGGTCCCAACCATCTCTTAAACGGGTAGGCAGTACTGGGTTTTTGTTTGAGCTTTCTTAGAGCTCAGTTGAATATTAAGACATCTTTTCAGATTGAGTGTTAATTTCTATGAGAAGTCAAATATCATAATGGAATGTTGATGTTTTAATTTCACAGTGGGTCTGCCAGTCACACAGGTTCATCTCCTTTCTGCCTTTTGTCCATTTCTATCTGCTCGGTTAGATTCTTTGGGATGATAATGTGGCTTGGCAGGTATTCAGGTAGTGAATCACTTTCTCACTTACCCCAGCTGTGTAGCAGACAGGTGACGCCCAGTACTTGTGCAAAGACTGTCATCTCATGCGTGTCAACCTTGTCTGTCCTAAAAATTGTTCTCAGATTAGTCATGTGGAATATCTGAGTGCAGCATGTCTGTGGCAAAAAGAACTTAGTGTGATATTTAGAACTTTTTTTTTTTTTTTTTTGAGCTAGAGTCTGGCTCTGTCACCCAGGCTGGAGTGCAGTGGCGCGATCTGTGCTCACTGCAAGCTCCAGCCCCCGGGTTCACACCATTCTCCTGCCTCAGCCTCCCATGTAGCTGGGACTACAGGCGCCCGCCCCCACACCTGGCTAATTTTTTTTGTATTTTTAGTAGAGATGGGGTTTCACCATGTTAGCCAGGATAGTCTCGATCTCCTGACTTCGTGATCCGCCCGTCTCGGCCTCCCAAAGTGCTGGGATTACAGGCGTGAGCCACTGCGCCCGGCCGAGAACTGTCTTTTTGGTGGGTATTGATTAGTCATTTTTATTACTTGCTTGGACCTAAGAGAAACAATCTTTGAGTTGGGTTACATTTGTGAAAGGTAATTGTGTTGGCATACAGTAGAGCTTGGCAGTTTGTTCTGGAAGGAAGATAAATGAAGTTCTGATGTGCTGTGCTTCAGTGTAGAGTGCCCCAAGGCCAGTCTGTAAGGCCCCTCAAGGGGTGCCAGGTCCTGCGCAGAGGGCGAAGCGCTGCAGGGAAGTAGCAGGAAGCTATGCTAGGAAGAGACATAAAGCCTTTGCTAAGTCTCAGATCAGTTATGCAGACAGCTTTTTCAGCATGTTTACTTTTAAAAATAAAACTCCCCTTTCCATATGAATAATGACTAAGGCTATAAGAAAACATATGGTAGAGAATAGTAACAATTAAAATGATGTCTGGTGTGGAATGCGTGAGTGAGTGTGTGGTCGGGGGACTCCAGGTGCGATTTTGCTCTCCTCCCATTAGATGACTATGGTTTGCTCAAAGGAAAGTCTCTTACTTTGATCTGCCCTTGTTTAGGCCGAAAGCGAAGAAACCAAGGAGCGCCTGTTTGAATCCATGCTCAGTGAGTGTCGGGACGCCATCCAGGTGGTTCGGGAGGAACTCAAGCCGGATCAGGTAGGACCCTCAGCTGAGCCCTGGCCCTTGCTCTGGGCAGGGGTCCAGGTCAGCCTGTGTCCCCTTCTCAGGTGGACCCCAGTGCTCTGAGTGCACTGTTCTCTTGGCCACTGTTTCGGTTTTTTTTTTTTTTTTTGAGGTGTGGTCGTCGGGACAAATAAAGCCTTCTGGGCTCCATTACACTGAGAAATTAATCCCTCCCTCCCCTGTTCCTCCTAGTGGTTTCCTGTATGGCCTGTGAAGCCTGTGGCCTCAAATTCTGTCTCCAGGTGGACTTCTCCAGTGCCTCCTTTTTCTGAAAACACTGTCCCTGTGATTCATTCAGGCATCTAGGCTGAAAACCTTAGATGTATTTGTCTCTTTTGTCCCTGTCACCCAGCACACTTTCTTCTCCATTTGCAGGGCGTCGTGCCTATTGTTGATTCGCCTGTTTCTATTAGCCTTTTCTCTTGTGCCTAGGCAACCGCAAAGGTCTCCTAATTGCTTCTTCTGTCTTGGTCCTGGTTCTCTTCTCCAGGCCTTTCTTTTGTGAAGTACAAATGGAATCTTTCTAAATCTAGTTTCCCTGTCTAATTTTAAAAAGCCCAGTGATTTCCTGTAGGGATTGAGCAGTGACCTCCAAACTTTTATGCTGATAAACCCCATAGGCAGCGTTGAGCCTGCACCACTGATGCATTTATTTATAAATTATATACCTTATTATTTGACTAATTTGTCATATATAAAATGCATTAAAATAAGGACTTTTTTGAATGAGATAAATAGAAATAGAAATTCTAATTTTCTTTTCATACTCAGACTCCCTGGGTTTTATGTGCCCTACTTAGAGACCACTGGTCTCTCAGTTCAGACTTGAGCTGGTGTACAAACCTTCCCCAGTCTGTTCCCAGCCTTGTACTTCACAACATCCTTCTGTGTCCTCTCCCTCAAGCTGTTCCACTTACGGGCACCTCAGTAATGCTTTTCCCACCCAGTGTGTTACACTGTTCTCATTCCCCTCCCTCCTCACTTGGTTCATCTTTCCTGCCACTCTTCACTTGTCCAAACCCCATCTGTTTTTCAAGGTCCAGCTCATAGCTTGCCATTTCTGAAAAATGTATGCCTGCACCATCCTAGCCTACAGAGATCTCTGCAGTTTCTAATTATCTGATACTTGCAGCTATAAGTTTTGATAGTTAAGTATTACCTGTTCATAAAAACTTACTTTTATTGTGGTAAAAAAGTGTTAAACATAAAACATACCACCTTAACCATTTTTAAGTGTACGGTTCAGTGGTAAGTAAATTTATTTATAATGTATAACCAACCATCACCACCAGTCCATCTCCAGAACTCTCTGCATTTTGGAAAACTGAAACTCTGAACCCATTAAACAACAATAACTTCAAGTGTTGCCTTGCAACTATTTTTTTTTCAGCATCTGCCACAAAGCCTTGAGTATAAACTTTGTTTTGAATCACTGCTTTCTCTAAGGAGTCACCTGCTTCCTTGCCCCGTTAGGCTGCCTTTATGTATTGTGCTTCCCTTCATCGACTTAACAGAGGTGCCTACAGAGTCCTAGCCCCTGTCACTGTCACTCACCTTGAATGCATAGCAGTTGGGAGACACCTCACAGAATGTAAGGAATGTGGTGCAGCAAAGGCTCATTCATTTCCTGTTGCTACAATCATATTACCACAAACTTAATGGCTTAAGATGATACAAATGTATTATGCTTCTAGAGGTCAGAAATGTAGTGGGTTCACAGGGCTGTGTTCCTTTAGAAGCCCTAGGGGAATCCTTTTCCAGTATTCCCAAGAATGCATCTCCTGGCTTCTAGCAGCTGCCTGTAGTCCTTGGCTTGTGGCTCTCCATTTGTGCTTCAAAGTGATCAGCTCCTCTCCCCTCTGCTTCCATTCCTTCATCATCTCCAGCTCTGACCCATCTGCCTCCCTCTTCTCAGGACCCTGGGATTACATTGGGCCCACTCAGATAATTCAGAGATCCTTCATCACATCCGTAGAGTCTCTTTTACCATGTATGGTAACATCTTCACAGATTCCACGGAGGCTAGCATGTAGACATCTCTGGGGTATATTATTCAGCCAGCCACAGAAGGCAGGCTCTGAGAGCACAAGGAGTGGAACTGGGATCTGTGGCATAGATCTTCACACAGAGCCGTGGACTGTGGAATGTCTGATTTTAATGCTTTGGGGTTAGGCACTGGGAGGAGTGGACAGGAAGTCTCATCTGGCCGTTACTCTCAATTATCTTATTTGAGGTAGTGTTTAGATGCCAGTGGCAATTTGAGTGCCACTGTTGTTCTAGATTATGTCAAGTAGTAGATCTTTGATATTTGAGGACTCCTGTCTTACTAGAGTCTGCGTCTATGTTCAGGGCACTTTGGAGACCCCCCCATTGCATGAGGTGGTCAGAGCGACAGCATCGGTTGCTTTACTTTTTACCTTTTTCACTTTCTGCAGAAACAGAGAGATTATATCCTTGAAGGAGAGTCGGGGAAGGTGTCTAATCTTCAATACTTGCATAGGTAAGGGTCATTTTAATTTTTCTACTTTTTAATATTGTTAAAATACCATTTGAACAAAAGAGTGTATGTAATATTTATGTATACTTACATTTATAATTTCTTTTTTTGTTTTTTTGTTTTGAGACAGGGTCTAGCTCTATCACCCAGGCTGGAGTGCAGTGATGTGATCTCAGCTCACTGCAGTCTCAATGGCCCAGGCTCAATCAGTCTTCTCACCTTAGCCTCCCACTGAGTAGCTGGGACTACAGGCATGCCCCACTACACCTGGCTAATTTTTTTTTTTGTAGAGATGGGATTTTGCCATGTTGCCCAGGCCGGTCTCAAACCCCTGGACTCAAGCAATCTGCCTGTCTCAGCCTCCCACAGTGCTGGGATTACAGGCGTGAACCACTGCACCTGGCTTACATTTATAATTTCTTAATGCGTAAAAATGCTAATGCATGTATGTCCATTGTATCAAATGAATATAAATGCTATATTTACATTTTATTTTATGTGCCAAATTTAAGATTTTTACATAGCTTAATTAGAACACAGCCAGGCACAGTGGCTCATGCCTGTAATCCCAATACTTTGGGAGGTTGAGATTAAAATAGATTGTTTGAGCTCAAGAGTTTGAATTAGCTGGGTGTAATGGTGCACACCTGTGGTCTCAGATACTCCAGAGGCTTGGGTGGGAGGATCCCCTGAGCCTGGGCAGTTCAAGGCTGCAGTCAGCCATGATCATGATCATGTCACTGCATTCCAGCCTGATACAGCCCTGACTCAAAATTCTCAAAAAAACAAAAACAAGAACACAACCAGTGTTTGAAGCTCCCTGCGGCCCTTTCCTCATTTCCTTCCACTCCTAGAGCTAACTGCTCTCCTTCCCAGTGCCAAACTCTGGAAGTTGGTCTCTGTGTTTTGAATGTGTTACGGTTGTCCATTTCACATTGAAGTTTAATTTCAACTCAAGTTTAACTCCATCCAGAGTTTATTTTTGTGTAAGGTCAGGATCTGCTTCACTTTCTTCCATAAAGACAATAGGTTGTTCTAGTATGATTTATTGACTACTCCATCGTCTCCCCGCTGATCTGCAGCGCCAGCCCTGCCAGGCATATGTCCCATTTTCTCCATATGTGTTCTTTCTCTGGACCCTTCTGCTCCATTGATTTGTCTGTACTTGGACCAGCACAGTGCATTATAACTTTGTGCCAATCTCAACATCTGATAGAGCAAGTTCTCCTCGCCAGATTTGTCCTCAGGGGTCTCTTGACTATTCTTGTTCCTTTCTTCTTTCATCATATATATTTTAAAGTCACATCGTCCCAGCACTTTAGGCAGCCAAGGCAGGTGGACTACTTGAGTTCAGGCATTCAAGACCAGCCTGGGTGAAACCCCATCTCTGCAAAAAAAAAAAAAAATTTTTTTTTTTTGTTTGGACTGAGTCTCGCTCTGTTGCCCAGGCTGGAGTGCGGTGGCACAATCTCGGCTCACTGCAACCTCTGCCTCCCAGGTTCAAGCAATTCTTGTGCCTCAGCCTCCCGAGTAGCTGGGATTACAGGCACCCACCACCACGCCCAGCTAATTTTTTTGTATTTTTAGTAGAGATGGGGTTTCACCATGTTGGCCAGGCTGGTCTTGAACTCCTGACCTCAAGTGATCTGCCCGCCTCAGCCTCCCAAAGTGCTGGGATTACAGGCGTGAGCCACCACGCCTGGCCAAAAAAATTTTTTTATTAACCAGGCATGGTGGTATATGCCCGCAAGTCCCAGCTACTTGGGAGGCTTTAGTGGGAGAATTGCCTGAGTCCACAAGATCTAGGCTGCAGTGAGCCATGACCCTGCTACTCCACTCCAGCCTGAACAACAGAGTGAGACCCTGTCTCAAATGAATAAAGTAAAATCACCTCGTCGAGTTTCTTTCTTTCTTTTTTTTTGAGACGGAGTCTCGCTCTGTAGCCAGCCTGGAATGCAGTGGCGTGATCTCAGCTCACTGCAACCTCAACCTCCCAAGTCCTGGTTCAAGCAATTCTCCTGCCGCAGCCTCCCAAGTAGCTGGGATTACAGGCACACGCCACCATGCTCAGCTAATTTTTTGTATTTTTAGTAGAGACAGGGTTTCACCACGTTGGCCAGCCTGGTCTTGAACTCCTGACCTCATGTGATCCACCTGCCTCGGCCTCCCAAAGTCCTGGGATTGCAGGCGTGAGCTACCGTGCCCAGCAAGTTTCATTTTTAAAAAAGATGATTCATTTTGTTTTACAGAAGAGAGGAAGAGTGACATATTTTTGGAATGGACAGGGAGAAGATTGTTGGGAAAACTCCCCTTCCCATCAGATTCTCTTTTCCATCTGACCTTGAAATTGTGATTCTTAGTCACTGCTTGTAATTTATATGGTGAGCCTGACAATATCCTTAGCCATTCCCCTGCCCCTCTCCATATTCCTATAAGAGCAAAACCACAAAAACTCCCTTCTTTACTCTTAAACGTCACCTTAGGAGTTTTATTTTATGTGAATGTCAAATTCACACGAAATGTCCTACTAGAGGATTCAGCAAGAATGGCCCTTAAATGTTGTCTGTTTCAACAGCCAATGAGAAAGGTGAGGTTCCAGGAGGTTAAGTGATGTGTTTGTAGTTAACAGCCACAAAGAATCAGGAGTTAGTCTAACTTCCTAACCTTGAAAAGACCCTTTGAAACATTCAACAAGGCTTAGGAGACTTTTGAAATTTTGAAGCCCCCTTGCCCGTGGATTCATTTTCCCACCTGAAGGTATAGCTGGTGTCACACCATGAATTTCAGTTAGGTCAGAGGCCAGCTTTGGGGTAAACAGATGAATCAGGAATCAGGCTGCTTTTTTTTTCCCCCCCAAGACAGGATCTTTCTCTGTTGCCCAGGCTGGAGTGCAGTGGTACAGTCACAGCTTATCGCAGCCTCAACCTTCTGGGCTCAAGCGGTCCTCCCACCTCAGCCTCCCAAGTAGCTGGGAGTATGTGTGCCACCATGCCCAACTAACTTTTTGTATTTTTTGTAGAGACAGGTTTTCGGCATGTTCAGGCTGGTCTTGAACTCCTGGACTCAAGCAGTACGCCTGCCTTGGCCTCCCAAAGTTTTGGGAATACAGGCATGAGCCCCATGCCCGGCCCAGCTTCTGTATTTCAATAAAACTTTGGAAAGCTGTATCTAAATTCCCATATCATTTTGTGTATAATATTTCTTTGTTTTGAGTCTGGTTTCTGCAAAGCTTTTTAGGAAAATCCATCTCATGACCTTCTCTCCTGTTTCTCAGAAGCATCCACTTTTAATTCGTTTAACACATTTCTGTGGGATTTACCTCAGTATCTCTAAATACCTTGCAGATTTGGGATTTCATCATTTTGTACCTTTCCACTGTTAACCCTGTCTCACTCTTCCACTCTGCTTCTCCCTGCCTTGACCCTTCCTGACTCCCACCTAACATTGCTGACACCATCTAAGAGCTCTTTTGTGTTCTCTGAATGTTTTGGTTTTGATTTTTGAGACAGAGTTTCACTCTTGTCGCTCAGGCTGGAGTGCAAAGGTGTGATCTCAGGTCACCACAACCTCCGCCTCCCGGGTTCACGCCATTCTCCTGCCTCAGCCTCCCAAGTAGCTGGGACTACAGGCGCCCGCCACCTCGCCCGGCTAGTTTTTTGTATTTTTTAGTAGAGACGGGGTTTCACCGTGTTAGCCAGGATGGTCTCGATCTCCTGACCTCGTGATCCGCCCATCTCGGCCTCCCAAAGTGCTGGGATTACAGGCTTGAGCCACCGCGCCTGGCCCCCCTTTTTTTTTTTTAATTTTAGAGTCAAGGTTTTGCTGTCTTGCTCAGGCTGGAGTGTAGTGGTGTGATCATAGCTCACTGCTGCCTTGAATACCCAGGCTCAAGCAATCTCCTGCCTCATGAGTTGCTGGGATCCCACTCTGTGTGTTTGTGTGTTTGTTTGTTTTCTCCACTGTGTGGTTCTTGAAAAAGGATGCAGAAGGTATAAATCAAGCTAAAAATCAAATTTTGTGATAAGATCCCATACGGGTTCCCTGCAAACTTGCCACTGGATAGTAGCCAAATGGAGGGTCCCTTGAAGCCCAGGCCAAATGGTCCTGCTGTGGCCACGCCCCCACCAGCCCCCCACTTCCTCTGGGTCAGCCCCAACTCAGTCCAGTCCTCCTCCCAGTTCCTCTGCTTCTCTGAGTATAACTTGAGTTGACTTATGGTGCATTCCAGCTACCTGACTTATATCAAGCTGTCAACGGCAATCAAGCGTAATGAGAACATGGCCAAAGGTCTGCAGAGGGCTCTGCTGCAGCAGCAGCCAGAGGATGACAGCAAGCGCTCCCCCCGGCCCCAGGACCTGATCCGGCTCTATGACATCATCTTACAGGTGACCCTTGAGGACCGGGAAGGCAAGGGCCTGTCGTTTTCCTTTGCCTGTGTCAGGCACAAAATGACTTAACTTTGCATCACGAAAGGACTGTGACAAGCAGGACCTGTTAGTAGCTGGGAAAAGACAAAGGTCTTACACCAGTTGTACAGTCTGTAAGCCACTACCTCTCAGACATGTTGATCTGTAGAGAATAGTGACCCCAGGTCATCACTGAGCACTTCACCTGTATAAGATGCTCCCAGGTGCCACAGAGCATCTGAGACCTGAGTCCATGCCATCTTGGCCCCCAGGGAGTTTGTCAGTCAGTAGGACTGTGAGACACACACAGTCAAGGCATCTGAGTAGATGCTAAGCAAAATAAAAGCTCAGAGCTGGAACAGATCCCTTTCAGCTGAGATGGGCCAAGAAGTCTCTGAAGGCAGGTGAGCTAAGAGTTGAGTTGTAAAGGACAAATATGTTTCCAAGATCAGAGAGGGGAATGGAGGTGACACCAGGTGTGGCTGCTGCCAGGGCACTTCACAGGCTTTTCCCCATCGTATTGACCTCGGGCTTTTTTTTCCTCACCCTTACCCATTCTTACAAGGTCTTCTGTCAAAAATTCAATCTAAGATCTTCTCTTCATGAATTTTCTTGTTGCATCTGTTGTACAGAATCTGGTGGAATTGCTCCAGCTTCCTGGTTTAGAGGAAGACAAAGCCTTCCAGAAAGAGATAGGCCTCAAGACTCTGGTGTTCAAAGCTTACAGGTAACGTCCCATGGGATAGGCAGAGTTTTCCTCTGCCTCCCAGGTTCTGTAAGCATTGGGAGCATGACCCAGCCCATAGCAGTTGGAATCGTTGGCCTTGAGTGTATGTGTTACCTTGCCTGTGATCACAGGAAGGTCAGCCCAGCATATTCAAGGGGAGTTTCTAAAGGCTGTGGCCAGTAGTGGCCAGTGATGATGTCTGCCGTCTGGCCAGGTCAGGGAGAGTGGAGCACACGTGTTAAAGTTGGCTTCCTCGCTGGACGCGTTGGCTCACACTTGTAATCCCAGAACTTTCGGAGGCCGAAGTGGGTGGGTCACCTGTGGTCGGGAGTTTGAGACCAGCCTGACCAACATGGAGAATCTCCATCTCCATTAAAAATACAAAATTAGCCGGGCGCGATGGCTCACGCCTGTAATCCCAGCACTTTGGGAGGCCGAGGCGGGCAGATCACAAGGTCAGGAGATCAAGACCATCCTGGCTAACATGGTGAAAGCCCGTCTCTACTAAAAATATAAAAAATAGCCGGGCATGCTGGTGGGCGCCTGTAGTCCCAGCTACGCGGGAGGCTGAGGCAGGAGAATGACGTGAACCCGGGAGATGGAGCTTGCAGTGAGCCGAGATCACGCCACTGCACTCCAGCCTGGGAGACAGCGAGACTCCATCTCAGAAAAAAAAACACACAGAAACACACCAAACACACAACAAAAAACAAAAATTAGCCGGGCATTCGGTGGTGCGTGCCTGTAATCCCAGCTATCTCGGGAGGTGCTGAGGAACGGAGAGTAGCTTGCACCTGGGAGGCAGAGTGTTGCGGTGAGCCAAGATCGCACCATTGCTACTCACGCCTGCGGCAACAAAGAGTGAAACTCCATCTCAAAAAAGGAAAACTTTCTTCCTCTACTTCCTCTCCTCCCAGGGGAAAAGGCGGGCATGTCTTGAAAGGGTGTTAATTAGCGGAACCAGAGTGGCCAGTTTGAACTACTCGGGATAAAGCAGCTACGGTTTCCTTTTTTTTTTTTTTTTTATTGTTTTTTTTGAGACGGAGGTTTCACTCTTGTTGCCAGGCTGGAGTGCATTGGACACCCATGTCGGCTCACGCAACTCTCACCTCCTGGGTCGCAAGCGTTCTTCTGTCCTCAGTCCCTCCTGAGTAGCCTGAGAGTTACCAGGCAATGCGCCACCACACCGCTAATTTTTTTTATATTTTTAGTAGAGATGGGGTTTCTCCATGTTGATCAGGCTGGTCTCGAACTCCCGACCTCGGGTGATTCACCCACCTCGGCCTCCCAAAGCGCTGGGATTACAGGTGTGAGCCACCGTGCCCGGCCTAAACTCAGTTTCTTAAATGACTTGTGTCATTTGTAACTTGGAAGTAGGCTGGGTAGCACAATGGGGTCCAGCCAGGATGGAAGGCAGAGCCCCATGCATTCTTGCCCTTCTTCTTCTGGCCCTCACACGCCAGTGTGCTCTGGTACTCCAGCGTGCCCCATCTTCACTCCATGGCCCCTTCTGTCCTCTCAGGGACCAGCAGCGCTTAGTGTCTGCTGAGCCCAGGAGAGGAATTTGACTCAGAAAGAACCTTCTGTGGGTTTTGTGTTTGGAAAGCGATGAGCAGAGATGAATGATTGCGACTTGGGTGTGTGGATCGGGTGGGATTTCTGTTTGAACCGGGCAGCATTCTTCCTTCCTTCCTGTCCTGGCCTCACCATGCTCCTTTTGGGAACTGTTTCTCCTCTGTAGGGTCAGTCAGTCAGTAAAAAACCATGGCTCACTGTTGGGCCTACCTGGGCATCTCTGACTGCTGGGAAGCATCTCTGCAGGGTAGCCTACAAATCTGAACACTTCCCATGAAGGGAGCTCCCATGCAGTGATCCCACGTTAAGAAACCTGTTACCAAATGTAAAATTTTGCCTCAATTGCAAGGAAAGCCTTGGTCTTGGGTAATTGCTGCTTTAGAATATTGTGGCTCTTTTCCCCTCCCCATCAGGTGTTTTTTCATTGCTCAGTCCTATGTGCTGGTGAAGAAGTGGAGCGAAGCCCTTGTCCTGTATGATAGAGTCCTGAAATATGCAAACGAAGTAAATTCTGATGCTGGCGCCTTCAAGAACAGCCTAAAGGTGAGACGTTGGCCTCTCCTTGTTTGCAAGCCCTGGCAGGTTATGGAGTCGGCTGTGGAGGAGCTGCGAGGGTACAACAGCTGGGCTCCACCTCAGGCTGGTCCTCCCTAGCTGCCCATGGGACCTGGTATGGCCCTGACTGCCCAGGAGCTGCAGACTGTGTCACTCATGGCTGTGCTCCAGCCCTGAGGAGGATTTAGGTATGAAGAAGGGAAGGCATTTTTCTGATTTAAAAGAAACCACAGGAAAACCTGAAGTACTGCTCTCAGACTTGACTACACATTGAAATGTCTTAGGAAGATTGTTTTCAAGGTAGATGTCTGGGTCGCACCCTAGAGATTGCGGTTCTAATCAGTGTGAGGGGTCTGAAGTTGGCATTGGGACCTTGAAAGGCCCTAGTGATTCTGACGTGCAACAAAGTGAGAAGCACTGGTGAAGCCATCCTGCAGGGCCTGTGCGAGACCAGCAGCAGCAGCGGGGGCCTGGCTAGGAATGCAGCCTGTCAGCTCCCACCTGGGACCTTCTGCTTGTTTGGTTTTTTTTCTTTCTTTCTTTCTTTCGACAGGGTCTCGCTCTGTCACCCAGGCTGGAATGCAGTGGCACCATCATAGCTCACTGCAGCCTTGAACTCCCGGGCTCAAGTTACCCTCCCACCTCAGCCTCCTGAGTAGCTGGAACCACAGACATGAGCCACCATGCCAGGCCAATTTTTATTTTTTTGTAGAGATGGGGGGTCTCACTGTGTTGCCCAGGCAGGTCTTGAACTCCTGGCCTCAAGCAGTCCTCCTGCCTCTGCCTCCCAAAACCTTGGGATTGGAGGCATGAGCCACCATGCTGGCCAGTAACTGCATTTTAGCAAAATCCCCAGGCCATTTGGGGGTCCATTAAAGCTAAGGAAATGCTTGATCTAAAGAACAGCCCCAGGGCCGGGCGCGGTGGTTCACGCCTATAATCCCAGCAGTTTGGGAAGCTGAGGTGGGCAGATCACTTAAGGTAAGGAAATCAAGACCAGCCTGGGGAACATGGCAAAACCCTGTGTCTACAAAAATACAAAACATTAGCCAGGTGTGGTGGTGCACACCTGTAATCCCAGCTACTCGGGAAGCTGAGGCAGGAGAATCACTTGAACCTGGGAGGCGGAGGTTGCAGTGAGCCGAGATCACGCCACTGCACTCCAGCCTGAGTGACAAAGCAAGACTCCATCTTAAAATAAATAAACAAAGCGCAGCTGTGGAAGGCTTGCTTTGCTTTACTTTTTTTTTTTTTTTTTTTAAGATGGAGTATCGCTCTGTCTACCAGGCTAGAGTGCAGTGGCACGATCTCGGCTCACTGCAACTTCTGCCTCCCAGGTTCAAGCAATTCTCTTATCTCAGCCTCCCAAGTAGCTGGGACTATAGACATGTGCCACCAAGCCCAGCTTATTTTTGTATTTTTAGTAGAGACAGTTTCACCATGTTGGCCAGGCTGGTCTCAAACCCCTGACCTCAAGTGAGTCTCTGACCTCAGCCTCCCAAAGTGCTAGGATTACAGGCGTGAGCCACCACGCCTGGTGCTTTACTGATTATTGAATGACGACTAGCTTCTTAAGCTTGTGGCCTACTGTGATGATATAGAACTTGTTGCAACATCAGCTGGTCTAAGGAATCCATGTGTATTTGACAAGTAGAGACCATTTAGAAAACCAAGCAAAGGTTCCTGTTGTTGATGGACTCACGCCAGCGTTGGAGCTGCTGGATCCCATGCATGCTCAGAGGGGTGGAGAAGAGCTCTCTGCCTTCAGAGTGCTTGTAGTTTTGTTGTAGCCACAGACTGGCATGCAGGAGCCCACCTATGGATGCAGAAGAAGTTAAAGAGATCCCATGCAAAGGCAGAGTTAGGAAAGAGCAGAGGGATGTGGGCAGGTGGGGGTGACGGGCGTGGCAGCGTCATCACTGTGGAATATCATCTTGGGACACGGTGCAAACCAGTGTGGCCTTGATTTCACGTGCTGAATTGCTTTGTGGGGGACGTGTCAGAGAATGGAGGCGGGAAGGGTTCTGTGGTATCCAGACCTTCTCGGGTCATTCCCAATATGCCAAGCAAGAGACTGAGGCCGGGAAAATTCATCACCCTCGCTGAAGCAGTGGGATGTAACGACGAAGGCCCTTGAGCGAGATGGCCCAGCCCTTTACCCCAGCCCGCTGCCACTTGGGGGCATGGCCAGCACATTGCCTAACCTCTCCATGCTTCCGTTTTCTCATCTGTAAAATGGGAGTGCAAACTGCCTCAGGATTATTGAGAAGGGTAAGCTAGTGATTATGTAACCTGCTTAGAATAATGCCTGGCACACTGTTTTAGTGTATGATAAATTTATTAATATTATCAACATCATCTTTATTTCCAGGCATTATTACTTAAGCCGTGGCATAGCTTTTCCCATTTGAAACAGGCTAGCATTTTTAGTTTTGTTTTGTTCTAATAGGGAGAACCATTTAGAAAGTCTAAAGTGCTATGAAAATACCAGTGGGGTCGCTTAACTCAGGTTAGGTTGGTGTGCTCTGACCTGGCCCTGACTTGGGAGTACACGTTTTCTGAATCTTACAGGACCTACCTGACGTGCAAGAGCTCATCACTCAAGTGCGGTCGGAGAAGTGCTCCCTGCAGGCCGCGGCCATCCTTGGTGAGCCCGCTGCCTGGCCTTTGTATCCCCAGACCTCCCTTCCTGCCACTGCCCTTCTCTCCCACAGCCCATACTACTGTTTTAAGGTTGAAAGGGTTGTCTCGGTTCATCTGTAAGATGTTTCTTTTTCCTGGCCTTCACTTGTGCCAGCTGGGCATCAGATCGTGTAGAAGCATTTCGAGATGTGCTGTTACACTGGCCCTTCTCCCTTTTACTGTCCTCATGCAACTGTGCTGGCTTCACTGGGCCGACAGCGTTGGATCTGGGATTGATCTGTTTATCTCCACCACTTCTCAGCAGGAGACGGGACTGGCTTCCCCACGTACTGGCTCCTTTTACTTTTGGGATGTAGGGGTCACCTGTGTGATAGGCCTCATTTGTGAGTAGTGTGCTATTATAAATCATTGTTCTTACTGAATCCCTGTGAAACTTCCAGATGGAAACGATGCTCATCAAACAGAGACCTCCTCTTCCCAAGTCAAGGACAATAAGGTAAGTCTGGGCTGTAGTTTTTGAGGATTACAAAGCAGGATTAGTAACAAACTAGAAATGCAAGCTCATTGTAGAGCAGTGGACCCTAAATTTCTAAGGAAACCCCCACCTCTCTCCCTTCTCTTACCCAACCTCAAAGCTTCCTGCATAAAGCTTCCTAGATGTCAGATCATCCCTGGGAAGAAGAGGGTTGAGGAACCTGTACTGTACAGAGTAGCACCCGTGGGTAAGAGCTCTAACTCGGAACATGGCCGACAGACCTGTACCCCAGTCCTAGCCTGCCCGTCTCTTAGCCTCTCTGGGTTTCAGTGACTCTGACTGCAAGACAGGGACGTGGTAGCCGCTCCTCGTAGGAGGCTGTCAGGATTGAGTGATTGAGTGAGATGGCGCCTATAAAGCTCTGAACCATGAGTGAGATGGCGCCTGTAAAGCTCTGAACCATGAGTGAGATGGCGCCTGTAAAGCTCTGAACCAGGCAGTCGGCACTCAGGAAATGTTCACCAAGGGTGTTCTGTGACGGATGCCTACATACGTCTCTTTGATTTGACTTCCAGCCTCTGGTTGAACGGTTTGAGACATTCTGCCTGGACCCTTCCCTTGTCACCAAGCAAGCCAACCTTGTGCACTTCCCACCAGGCTTCCAGCCCATCCCTTGCAAGCCTTTGTTCTTTGACCTGGCCCTCAACCATGTGGCTTTCCCACCCCTTGAGGACAAGTTGGAACAGAAGACCAAGAGTGGCCTCACTGGATACATCAAGGGCATCTTTGGATTCAGGAGCTAACCAGGCTCTTCCTCAGGGGTGGGGGAGATTCTGACTCTTAATCTGTATTGTGAGAAAATCCCAGCAAGTTCCATGATATTAAATCCAGGTCTGCGTTGGCCCGGGGCAAGAGTTTAACATCTTCGGCCCTGCATTCCTACATCTTGTGTTTGCACACATTCTTAAGCAGTGTGTTAGGAGAGCACCCTGTCGTCTTCCGGTAAATGTGTGCGGGGTCATCCTGTCTCCTAGGCCTCCTGGGAGAGGGCCGCTGCTGTCTGGTGCCCTGTGAGCTGTGATTGCCTTTGGTCAGTGATGTGTTCAGGAGGCCACACCAGGCACAGATGGGGCCTTGAAACGCTTTGTCATGCTTCTTCAGTACCATGGATTTGAAATGAACTCATCCTTGCTGTGAGCATCCAGGATCCCTTGAAAAGTTTATCTATGACTATGAAACTGGCAACGTCACCCCAGAATTACGGTCAGCCTTATTCCCCTTCACTTCCCAGTGAACGCTAAGAAGTTTCAGACAAGCAGAGAGCTCTATTTTTAGAAGAAATATGTTACACTCAGAAATGATGAAACCAAATCTTATATTAAAAGGCAAAGATGATGGAGACTGTACCCATTTCTTATGTGCTCTCCCTCATATCCAGTCCCTGTTCTCTCCTCGGGAGCCTGGCTGTGTGAACCCAGTGAGGTCAAGTGTAACCTGACTCACCAGCAGCTAGGTGTGGCTGATGCCAGATACAGATGTTAGAGGCACTATTTTTCAGGAGTTCCCAATGTGTAATTTTTTGATGCCATAACATTTTAATCCCCTTCTTTACTCCCCTTTTTTTCTTAGTCATCCCTTTTCACTTCTATTATAACATCAATAATAGAAGTCACAAAAACAATGTAAGAAAGCAAGGAATAAAAGTGATTTAAACATGTACCTGACACTTATGATTCCCTTTGGAAATCAAAACTCACCTGTCACATAGGAAAGAAAAGTCGCCACGAGAAATGTTGGCTTAGTTGTTTTCAGTTTTTGAGCAAATCCGGTGGCTGGAAGAAAAGGCTGACTGGTTAAAAATCCGAGAGCATTGTTTCAGGATGGCATTGTAACTCTGCCAGGGTTCCCTTTGCCCGCTGCCCAGATGGAGCTGATTCATCGAAACAGAGGAATTGTAATAGAGTTTAATTCACACAGAGCCGGCTAAACAGGAGACTGGAGTTTGTTTTTACTCAAATTGGTCTCCCTGAAAATTCAGAGACTGGGAATTTTAAGGATAATTTGATGGGCAGGGAGTCTGGAAGTGGGAAGTGCTGATTGGTCAGGTTGGAGATGAGGTCATAGGGAGTTGAAGCTGGCCTCTTGTGCTGAGTTGGTTTCCTGGGCAAGGGCCACATGACCAGATGAGCCAGTTTGGATGGATGGTGCCAGCCGATCCATAGAGTGCAGGGTCTGAAAAATATCTCAAGCACCATTCTTAGGTTTTACAACAGTGATGTCATCCCTAGGAGCAACTGGGAAGGTTCAGAATCTTGTGGCCTGTGGCTGCATGACTCCTAAACCGTAACTTCAATTCTCGTGGCTAATTTGTTAGTCCTGCGAAGGCAGTCTGGTCCCCAGGCAAGAAGGGGGTTTATTTCCGGAAAGTGCTGTTACCATCTTTGTTTCAAAGTTAAACAGTTAAACTGTAAGCTTCTCCCAAAGTTAGTTCAGCTTATTCCCAGGAATGAACAAGGACAGCTTGGAGATTAGAAGCAAGATAGAGGCTGGGCACAGTGGCTCAAGCCTGTAATCCCAGCACTTTGGGAGGCCGAAGCGGCCCGATCACAAGGTCAGGAGATCGAGACCATCCTGGCTAACACGGTGAAACCCCGTCTCTACTAAAAAATACAAAAAATTAGCCGGGCATGGTGGTGGGCGCCTGTAGTCCCAGCTACTCGGGACGCTGAGGCAGGAGAATGGCATAAACCAGGAGGCAGAGCTTGCAGTGAGCCGAGATCGCACCACTGCACTCCAGCCTGGGTGACATCTCAAAAAAACAAACAAACAAACAAAATGGAGTGGGTTAGGCCAGACCTCTTTCACTCTAATAATCTCACCATTCGAATTTTTGAAAAGGTGGTTTTAGAATGCCACTGTGGGCTTGGCTGTGCCTCTTGTTTTCCCAGTAAGTTGCAGGGAGGGAGGGCTAAGAGCTAGAAAGGATGGTGAGACACAAATCAGACTTCTTGTTAGATTTGGGTGGTGGCTTAGAACCTTGAGATGCTGGAAGAGGGGCCTTAACCCCTGGGATTTGTTTTGGGTTGGAGAGCCTCAGGAAGCTGGGGTTTTTCTAATTGAAAGTTTCATCATCTATGCCATATAAATTTAGGACTATCCTCACCCCTCCTTCTGGAAATATAGCACAAATAAGCTGGACACAGTGGCTTACGCTTGTAATCCCAGCACTTTGGGATACTGAGGCAGGCAGATCACTTGAGGCCAGAAGTTCGAGGCCAGCCTGGGCAACATGGCAAGACCTTGTCTCTACCGAAAAAAAAAAAATTTGTTTAAAGAAAAATATATATAGCACAGATGATTGGTCTCAGGTCCTTGTCTATCCATGTCCTCATCCTCCTCTCAGGGTCATCTGCCAAGATTCTGCACCTCCCTTGTCTCGTCTCTGTGCTGACAGCCGTGCTGTCCTCCAGCTCCAAGAACCCAGTTCCAGGCCCTGCTGTGCAGCAGTCTCAGGCCTGCCTCAGGCCGTTGCCTGCAGCATCGTGAGGGGGACAGGCATGGGGAACCGCTCATCCTCCTGGAAGATGTCCCTTTGTCCTGCCCACAGCCCTCCCAGCCTCTCCCACTACAGTGCTGGCCTCAGTGGGGACCCAGGACCTATAAACTAGGGATGGAGGCGAATCCCGACTGCACCGTTTCTTCTCAGGTTGCCTAATGCTTTGTCTCGCGGCCACACTACAAATCCCATTCCTCTCAGTGCTCCTTCCAGGCACTCTGAGCAGCATTGGCGGTTACCGGCCAGTGATGCTGTTTAGTATTAAAAGCAGGTGTTTACATAAGAAGACAGATCTGGCAGGGCCAAGGTCTCCGGCGAGCTTGCACATCCCTTCACGTGGGACTCTTGGACATTAAGCAGGCTGTGTCGTGGGGGACAGAGCGCCAGACGCAGGACCCCCTCCTGTCCTCAGGCCCTGGGAAGCGGCTCTGCCTCTGATGGGAGCAGGTTTCAAGCAGGCCCTTACTGCCCCTGCACCCTGCAGGCTGTTCGCTGGGGGTTTTCACAGAAGGACACTTCAGAGGCCGCTCAGTCCTGCCTTCCTGTGGAGCAGGACGTGCAGTTGAGGCCCCGGGGGCTGCGAATGGGTCTCTTCCAAGTGGGTGTTCCATGTTGTGCTGGCTCCAGTCCCTCCTCCATGATGGACTGTGGTGCTGTCAGCAAGCTCTGAACCTAGAGGAGGCTTCTGTCTCCAACATCAAGAGAGGACGAAGAGACCTCAATTCAGTCTCCTTATACTTTTATTTATTTATTTATTTATTTAGAGACAGAGTCTCGCTCTGTCGCCCAGGCTGGAGTGCAGTGGCACGATGTCAGCTCACTGCAGCCTCTGCCTCCTGGGTTCAAGCTATTCTCCTGCCTCAATCTCCCAAGTAGCTGGGACTACAGGTGCATGCCATCATGCCCAACTAATATTTGTATTTTTAGTAGAAGTGGAGTTTCACTGTGTTGGGCAGGCTGGTCTCGAACTCCCGGCCTCAAGTGATCCACCTGCCTTGACCTCGCAAAGTGCTAGGATTACAAGAGTGAGCCACTGCGCCTGGCCCAGTCTCATACTTTTAAAGCCTGTCCAAGGTCTGCTGTGGCTGTGATCATGGTTTCTTTCCTTCTCTTTTTTTTTTTTTTTTTTTGAGACGGAGTCTTGCTCTGTTGCCCAGGCTGGAGTGCAGTGGCGCGATCTCAGCTCACTCCACCTCCTGAGTTCAAGCAGTTCTCCTGCCTCAGCCTCCCGAGTAGCTGGGATTACAGGTGCCCGCCACCATGTCCAGCTAATTTGTGTATTTTTAGTAGAGATGGGGGTTTCACCATCTTGGCCAGGCTGGTCTCAAACTCCTGACCTCGTGATCCACCCGCCTCAGCCTCCCAAAGTGCTGGGATTACAGGCATGAGCCACCACACCTGGCCTCTTTTTTTTTTTTTGAGATGGAGTCTCACACTGTCACCTGGGCTGGAGTGCAGTGGCACGATCTCGGCTCACTGCAACCTCCGCCTCCCATTCAAGCCATTCTCGTGCCTCAGACTTCTGAGTAGCTGGGATCACAGGTGCCCACCACCACGCCCAGCCAATTTTTTGTATTTTTAGTAAGACAGGGTTTCACTATGTTGGCCAGGTTGGTCTCAAATGCCTGACCTCGTGATCCACCCGCTTCGGCCTCCCAAAGTGCTGGGATTACAGGCGTGAGCCTCCGTTCCCAGCCGAAGTGATCATGGTTTCTATTCTCTGTTCCAGGCAAGCCCTACCAGGCCTGCTGGGTGACGGTCAGGAGCGCGAGGTGGCTGAGGATGGCACTGGCCTTCGCTGCTGGGTCTCCTGTCCATTCCTCTCTTCCCGAATGTTGTTTGGATGTGCTGTCTCCTCTCTTTTTTATGTTAAATCAGTGAGAACTCTTGGATTCCCCGTTTGAAATGAAACAGTGCCTGGCTTGGTTCTGATCCCTTCCCCTGGTGGCAACCTGAGCCTGTCACCGCGACTGTGAGGTGACAGCCTGTGATGACAACCCATAGCGGCCCTGGCCATAGCGGGGACTTTCCTCCCAAAAGCAGAGGCAGAGGCTTCACCCCCCTAGGAGAGGAAGGCCGACACCAGGGACTTTGAGGGTGGGACTGTGCTCTGTTCATTGTCATCGCTGTGGCAGTGCTAATTTTTCACATACAAGGTGTCGGTCGTTAGTCACACACAAAAAAGCTAATTGATCACAGAATTCTAAACAGCGCAATTCTGTCTGCAGCCTTGAAAAGCTTGGGACATTTAGAGGTCTAGGAAAATATCCAAAGATAGCAAAAATATGTGTTGGTTCTAATTTTTTGTTTGAAGACACTTGTTGCTACGGAGGAGATGGAAAGCAGATTTAGCTGTAAAATTTATCGATGTTCCAAAGCAAAGAGAATAAATTGGAAATTGCCTGCATCCTGACAACACCAACTGGAAGAATCCAACCTGTTGTTCTGTTAGATGTTAGAGACACTTGGGAGCAGGATCTGGGAGGGGCCGTGGCTGGGGGCACTGCCTAGAGCCAGCTGGGGTGGCAGGCTGTGCCGGTTGCACAGAGTAGACAGGCCCTGGCCTCTGGGTCCACCCTCTGCTCTAAGCACCATCTGGCACAGAGGGAGGGGCTCTACAAGCGTCCACTAGAGGTATTATTGTTATTATTATTATTATTATTATTCCGAGATGAGGTTTCACTCTTCTTGTCCACGCTGGAGTGCAGTGGTGCAATCTCGGCTCACTGCAACCTCCACCTCCCAGGTTCAAGCAAATTCTCTGCCTCAGCCTCCCAAATAGCTTGGGATTACAGGTGTGTGACACCTGCTCTGCTAAATTTTTTTAGTAGAGGGTTTCACCATG